ATAATTCCGTACCTGCTACATGAATTAGCCCTATGATTTTGATTTGATTATAAATGTTTCATAATGCAGAAAATGGCATAGAAGGACCCCTTTGACCAAACTCTACATAGGCCCTCACAGAATTTTGCTTTGCAGGACGCCCCTTCATGTGTGTTCCACATTAATTGTCCAAAAGCAGTTTGAATCACTAAAACATAATTGAAATAATCAGACTGCCAACCTACTTTGATTTCTCTATCACAAACAAGCCTTTTTTTAAGAATCAGCACTGTACACAGACAGTTGTTTGGATGACAATGATTGTGAGACATGTTGACATAGTGTTGGTACACTCACAGACAAACATAGTGCAGACTGCTGAACATGCTGTGGGTATTCACTGAGACAGAGCAAGGGAGCTGCAGACTTCTCTTTGCACTTCCACAATGGCTTCATTTTCTAACACTGGAGGTTGCTGCTTGGTTGAGACGAGACAAGATGAGACAAGAATAATATACAATAAGATTTGGTATATGATTGGTGGCCCATATTAAAGATAAATTCACAATATAATGATTCTGCACTAATTAATATATTGCAAGACAATAATTGAATGATACATTATTTTACCTGAACTAAAAAATATAAAAATGCCCCGAGAAATTGTTAAAGGAGTTAAGTATCACTGCAATTTGCAGTCAGTTTTTAGCGCTTATCACATTTCACATCTTGACTGATGTCTGACATTATTCCACTGTCTTCTTCTTCTTCTTCTTCTTCTTCTTTGGTCAATTAACTTCCATTCATGTAAGCCTCATTAACATAATAGACCGCAGGGAGTCATGAAGTGGTGATGCTGTAAGTCAAATTGGCAGGGAAATCTGAGTAGAGCCCTTTATGTTTTTGTGAAAATGTCGATATTTGGCTCCAGTGACAACATAATCGTATTCAGACTGACAATATATTGCTGTATCGATATTTTGTCCTTCCCCAACTGTATAAGCAGCCTGGTTATCATTATGGCTTCAGATGGACAGAGACAGTAATAGTAAAACTTCTCTCAAATGGAAGGTTGAGGGTTCGATCCCCAGCTCCTGCAGCATCATGTCCTATGTGTCCTTGGGCACAACACTTGTGGCTGTATGAATGTGTATGAATGGGATTACTTTTGATGGTCGCTTTACATAGAAACCTCTTCCATCAGTGTGTGAATGGGTGTAATGTGTAGGTGTGTCATGTGGTGTAAATGCGCTTTGTATAGTCAGAAGACTAGAAAAGCACGACACAAGCTCAAGTCTATTTACCATATACCATTTACCTCCAGCTTTAGAGCCTCCAGAAAATGCGAACATTATCCTGGTGCCACATTATAAAATGTTAGTACAATGCATTGCATTAATGAGGATGCACATTATGTAATTGTTGTTTTTTAATTAATATGATAATGAATTACCTGGATAAATAAATTCATCGATTTTATCCAGGAACAAAAAGCCCTAAAACAGCCGGATTATGCTGCACATTACCACAGCAGTCACACTTAATTAAAGCATAGACAAGAATCTTTCTCTCATTTCTACAGTTTAAACATCTTCTGCATGCTTCTCTTGATTCCCCTCTTTGCATTTTAAGGATATTTACTTGCAGAGTTAAATAGATGAAACAAAACATGTTATCACTTGTCACTACGATGACAGGAAGACGACAGGCACCACCCTGTGCCTGCAGCTCATTCAAGTTGTTTCTATCTGACCAAAAAGGGAGAGTGTCGCCACAAACGATAGTTAACACAGAGACATCAGGCGTGGCTGTTTAAAATGCAGTTTCCATGGGAACCCTTGCCTAACATCATTTGTCAAGCACATCAAAATAAGATAAAGAGAAGCGAAAAATAGCCATGGGCATTTCTTTGCTAGTTTACTCACATGTAAGCTAGAAGAGGAAGTAAACTGTTATGTGGTGGTTTATTGAAGAATGACACAGTTCATGTACAAGTATTCACAGTGACAGGGTGGAGAAAAGTATATGATGTAGATCTCTGATGTATGTGCAAGATAGTAAACACAGTATACAAGATTAGATTAGGGTAATTAATTGTCCACAAATCTAGTGAGATGATTTGAATCAAATGACTTTTACAGTATGTTTTGTAAAAGTAAAAATGGTTGGCTGGATTGTGTCAGAGTTATGATTCGATTGTAATTTCACTGTTATTCATTTTAAGAAAGCCTCGATCTCACCTTAAGGAGGAAGTTAAGGATAACCTTAACCAAATTTACAAAATACTTCAGTGTATTTTTAAACTGAAAATATTTACAGTGTAACTTTCCATCAAATGCACTCATTCTACATTAAATGTAAATAAAGTGTCAATCTTGTCTTGTGATTTTGACTGGCTTGTAGTTTGGGAATTTGATCGCTGTAGACTACATGTTTGTCAAACTGTGTTACCTGCCTCACTCTTATAGAATTATATAGAGGAAAACTGAACTCAAAAACCGGACGTCTTATCCCACAACACACTATTTGTGATGATAATGCAAATAACTGAGCGTTTGTTATCTTTATTACATCGTTGAAATCGTCGCACTTTTTTTTTGTGATATCAGTTTATCTGGATGAGAATTCGGCTCTGAATGGACCACTGGCCCGGCTTCAATGAGCTATTACCAATCGATCAAAGGATGACTTAAAAATAGGACTCGTGGGAGAGCGGTGTGGAAGTTTTATAGCTTGCACACTGAATACAAAAACAAACATGTGCAAAACTGCATCCTGCGGCTTAACAAAATCTGACCTAACCTTTACTCTGCATTCACAGCGTTGTACATCAACTCTAACTAGTAATGGAATCACTGTCTCAATCAGCAATGTAACCTTGCTAGTCCCTCCCTGTTCTAGTTGTCTGGAATTCCTCTTATATCTAAGCTGTCATAGATAAAAGCAAATTACTCTGGGAAATGTAGCATGTAATTCCATTACAGTATCTCCAGCGGTGAGACTCCTTGGATCACCTTGACAACAGTCTAGTAAACATGTATTCCATTTTTTGCTTTACATGTGTTTAACACATCATGCATCCACACAATGAGGCTTTCTCTTTAATGTGAATGAGCATGGGATGTGGCAGAAGAACACCTTGCTGCTCAGGCTTGCACCATGCCATGCTGAAAGTGGAGCAGGTGAAGTCGAGGAAAAAGAGGCCAAAGAATGCATGGAGGGACAACACAACAGACGGACAGATGGACATTTTAAGCTCTAATTTTCCCCCTCCCTGCTTCGCAAATTCAGCGTCTGTGAGTTACTGTAGCCTGTGGTGTGGCTGAAATTAAAGGAGGACTGACAGTCTGTGTGCGTGGGATGAGAATGAACAGAAGGCTTCAATGCTGATAATGGTAGCTCTTACTGTCTGACTAGTCTGTAGGTGTTGGAAATAAAACTTGCTGAGTAGTGCAATTATGAAGACTTTTATGAAGTTTATTTTTCTGTCCATTCACTGCAGTAGCTGTGTTATGTGAATCTATTGCCATAATAAAACATTATACAAATAGTTGTATCTTCTCTCTTTCTGCCACTCCCTCTTTCCCACTTTATCAACAGATGAGTCAGGTTCTTGCTGAGGTTTCTGCCTGTAAAATTAAGTGTTTATCTTGCCGCTGTTGCTCACTGATGGTGGATTCATGGTGGTTCTAGCTGAATAATATAACAAAGAGTGCGGTCTAGATCTTCTCTTAATGTAAAGTGCCATAAATAACCTTTACGATGATATGGTGCTATAGAAATAAAATGGACTGATGATTGACTGATTGTACTAGTGGCAGTGTCACATCTATTAAATCTATTATGTTTTGTAGTAAACACTATGTAAAGCAGCTCTTTTAACATTTCCCACACCCATTGCTTTTTTCATCCAATTGATTTTAAATTACAAGATATTCAAAGGAAAGTTAATCATTTTTGCTTTCTTGTCTCTATCCTTCTCCTCCTTCCTGCATCTCCCTCTATCCCACTTTCCATCTCCAACACAGTTTCTGCAGACGGCTGTTCAACATGAGTCTGGTTTTGCTCAAGGTTTCTGCCTTTTAAAAGGACGTTTTTCCCTTTCCACTGTAACTTTGCTAGATGTTGCTTATTGCCGTGCTCATGGTGGATTAATAACGGCGTCTTAGATAATACAACAATTCGTAATGTTTACCTGCTCTTTTGTAACATAATATAACAATATGTCAAATATTTTACCAGCCCTTTTGTAACATAGTAGAGTAAGGTCGTTTACCTGCTCTTTTGTGACAAAATATAACAATAAGTCAGATCTTTTACCTGCTCCTTGCAACATAATATATATATATTTTTAAATGTTGAGAACATTTGTTGTGAATTTGCTCGCTATGTATACAAATAAAGACTGATAGAATCATTCTTTCTTAAGGTTATGTATTGAGATAACTGCTAAGTTAAGGAGAGCAATGCCAGTGTAGCCCACTTTGTCTCTGTGCAATTCACACATTCAGGAGACCTTCTGTAGCCGAGGCGCCCACGCCTGCCCCCTCTGCCACACCCGCGACAATACACTCCGTTTCAATTAGCTCATTATCTCGAGCATCAGCTGTTAGCCTATAGCTCAAGAAATCTAAATCTCACACACACTGACAGGAATAGCTCTGAACAATTGTAGGGGGGATGGATGTGTACAGAACTGAGTCTATGTGATTGAGTAATACGATAAGAAAGGCGCACCTGACACTCTGCCTACAGGGCCTTCATGTGCATGAATAAGGATGCCCTGATTCTGTTCAGCTTATTAAACCAGCCTGACGACCATATTGGTCGGATTAAAGCTGTGTGGCAACACCCTCTCCATCCCTCCATGACACTTGAAGCACAAAGAGCATGCAGAGCTCGGTTTTCTGTAACGCTTGACGCCGGTTATCGTCCCTCTCCCACAATGTCATTTCATTACAACCGGCGAATGCAGCATGCACCTGTTCCGCTGTCATCACAGGAACAAATAAAACGCATACCTGTCCTGTCAGGTCGGATGTCAAGCTTCAGTCCTGGTTCTGATCATTGAGATCGCAGCCGCCGCCGCCGCCCCGGAGCTCGTTCGCTCTGCCGCGGGAGATGCAGTCCTGCAGGCGGGGACAGCAGACAGGCACCAGCCGGCAGGGATGGTTACGGTCGGAAAAGAGCTGGAGGAGAAGAGAGCAGAGAGGGGCGTTTTCTCTGTGGAAGTGAGGAAACTCCTAACGTCGTGCGTGATGTGTGAGGACCCTCTCCGCCTGTGACACACACAGCGCCTCTTCACGCCACTTGCTTCACTGATTCTCGGCTCCTATTCCCAGCAGTAAAGCAGCGCATGGTGAACTGTAGGCTATGATAAGATGGTCTGAAGCACATAGCACGATTTAACATTCCCAAATCAACACTGTTCTACAAATTGTATTACGCATAACCTATTGTCTTTCATTAAAAGATATGAATAAACTTCTGAAATATTCTCTAAAGTGCGTTTTTTTTTTTCCTTTCCAATTTTCGGTCTCATCCCTTCTTCCAAACAAGTTGCCTGCTTCATCTTCTCTTTACATTTTAGTGTATCATTTATTAGATAAGGTTACTTTATGATGTTTGACGTAGCCTATGTCATTGGTGATGATCATTTATAAAAAAATAAAAATAAAAACCTGTATGGTGAGGTTTCGTCTGAATAAACTTGAGTTATTCAAAAGTTCTCATTTTAATTCCCTGCACAAAATGTTAAACTGAAGACTGGCGGGCATCTGCCGTGTGATGCTTATCAAGAGCTTTTAGCATCCTTTCTGTGTCAGAGCGCCCTCAAATGTCATCATGGGACCTGTCAGTTACTAAAAAGTCTAAATGCAATGTGCATTAGGCATCATTAATTGCAAATCAATGCACTTGGCTTTGCATTAAACTAATTGAAAGAGATATAGGCCTAGATGTTGACGTAAGGAGATTGATAGGCCTAAAGAGCTAAACGTTGCTCTGATTACATCTGGGATTTATTAATAAAGGGAAGGTTCCTTATAGCCAACTTGTATGGAATAACATTTTTAACAAGCTCCAGACATTGTTACTTTTATTCAATTTTATTCAAAAGATATGTCTTTAACCCACTGCATTAAGGAAAACATAGCATATTGTCTCCTGCATAGAGAGCACTGTGTTCATTGGATGAAGGCTAAGTGGGTGATGTATTGCATGGTGAGTCATAGGAACTGTTCTGAACGCCCTCTTTGGCTTTCATGCACAAGTATTCAAATGCAAATATGCATGCAGGAAAATCAATGCCAGTCATGCCTCAGCAGTGGCCCTCTTGATGCTTACAGGATATGCAAACCCAGAGCAACGGAATCACTTCACTGTCATATGGGAAAGATTTGTGAAGCCTGAACTAATGCTATATAATATTTGTATATAGCAACCCTTAGTGAATAAGATAATACATTACATAAGCAGAATACATACACATTATTGTTTAGATAACACATTGTATTTACTTGTTAACAGCTGTTAAGTTAATCCAAGTAGTTTTGCAGATATTTCTCCACATGGTGGCGTCATTTCCCTTCATTTACCTTTACACACTACCAATCAGTAAACTGAAGCCTTCGCTTTGTACCTGCAAGATAAACTAAGTAATGACATGTAAGAACAAAGTTGGGGGCAAACTAACTCAATGCAAGATAATGAAAGCTGACATTATTTATTTGTACAGGAGCTGTCAGAGTTAGACAGTAAGTTAAAATCGTCTTCTCTTTTGAGGCCCCAACCTTCTAATTCATGTTTGTAATCTTCAGCTTACCAATGTTGTAAGTGATAGCTTTCTTATGACATCCATTGAATTTGACGTTTTTAACATACTCCTTGTTTTTTGTTGTGTTTGATGCATATAGGATGAGATGCAATTGCTAGCATGAGCAAAGTGCAAAGAAAGATCTACTAATTTTTTAAAAAGTCAGGAAGGTTATAAAAAAAGGGTTAAGGAGACAGGATGGAGCAGTTAGGCTCTCAAATTAAATGAGTTTTGTATCCAATACTCTGACACTCGTGTCAGGTCGCGGGGACTGTTGCTCATGTATTAGCGTTATAACAACCACATTTAAAAACAAACTACCATCAGATGGCCATACATGTTGCTTCAGTTTTCTCATACATGTGCAGAATTACTCTGCACACCCAGACTGAAGCTGGGCCATAAATCTCTCTTCTCTACAAAGTACCTTACATTACTCACATTGCCATATGCTTTTTCCTTGAGGCAAATCCAGACATTAATTATTTCTCCATAAAGGATAATAAGTTGGACTGAAGATACAATTATGTCATTGCCACATTCCCCTAACACATGATTTATATTTGCTGCATTTTCAAAGACATTTAAACACCCCTGTTAAGTTGCCACGAGGAAAAAGGGCCATACTTCCAGGTAACCAACTAAAGGAGTACCTGCAACATTGTAAAACATCATAATAGTTCTCATGTTTTAAAGTTTAATTGTTAACATTTCTTGATTTCATTTTATTACTCTTCCTTTCCGCTCACTAAGGTACTCAATTTCAGAATCAGAATCAGAAATACTTTATTAATCCCAGAGGGAAATTCGATAGTTACAGTTTCTCCAAAATATACAATATAGCAGTAGAAATATAGTAATAAAAACATTTACAGACATATTTACTTCAACACGTGAGGCCGATTCCTCAACAGATTCCGAGATTTCTTCCAGAAGTGATCTTGGAAATTCCTGGCAGAAAACAGACTCTATGTCTGTGTCCATAGGCAAACAGTGAGAGCACCGACACTACCAGTCCGCCCCAGCTCGAGCCGACCCCGGCTCCTCATCCTCACCACCGCCAACAGGCAGGCCTTATGTCTCGGCTGCTGAGCTGGCAGCAGTCAGCGGCGGCCAGCAATATAGCAATATAGCCGCGTGACAGTTGCTGCCGACAGGCCGGTCTTGTGCCGGGCTCGCGGCTCCCGGTCTTGTGTTTGGCAGCAGCCAAAACACAAGACCGGCCTGTTGACAGCAGCCGTCTAGTCGCTATATTTATAATTTTTCGCCATTATCAGCTTTCTCCATAGAGCCTGTTATCATAGCTTCCAAGCAATATGGCGGACGTTAAGTTTTGATTCTGGGAGTGAGTTCCCACCCATTGATCTGTGATTAGTTTGTTGCGTCAGTGGTCGAAAATATGAGGAACTAGCGTTGTAGTTTCACCCAGTAATGCAATATGACGATATTTGCGTCACTGGAAGCTCCTTTTCAGACTTAGAAATACAGAACTTTCCAGTCTCAGGGGGAAATGAGGGCTGGATGCACGACCAACCAGGTTTCTCATGATACAATGCTTAATGCAAATGCATGAAGTATCCCTTTAACTGTTTTTGACTGAGCTTAGTAGGCTATCTTTTATTTTTGACATCAACAGCTCAAGATATAGACCATAATGGTGATCACCTTCAAGACCACATACTGGTGGATTCTGGTAGGGGCGGATCTAGAGAACAAGTACTGCAGCTTAAACAATCAATGTAACGTTACCCGAGAGCGACAATTTCAAGTTGAAACCACACAATGTTGAAGCCATAGAAGCTTGATAACGACCATTGAATGATGCATGGCTGATGTCATGTAAATAAAGTCTGAAATGTTTTTTTACACTGTAGGCTACCACTGCTCTTCTTTATATAACCAGAGGTATATTCAGGGATGAATGGTCTGAGTATAGCTTCAAATATATAGTTAAATGCAAGCCTTCTGCCAACAAATTCAAGGAACTTTCATTTTACTGTTTCCAACTGTAGCCAATAAATGTTTAATGACAGCAGTTGTCTTTCCCTTCTCAATACTAATAAGAGAAACTTAAAATTGCTGACATCTTTTCTTCATTATAAAAATTAAACGTACAGTATACAACAGTCTTTCTTTGATAAGACAAGTTTTTGAATGTATGTTCCAATGAATAAAATCAGTGATTAGAGCTTGAAGCCTATTGAAAATATACGCTATGTAAGTAGGTCCAGCTAAGCCGCCCCCACAAAAAGGCCCACTATAACCTGGAATCCCTGAAAATAAGTTACACAACTAAATCAATATTACGATATCATCATAGATGAGGTCACTCCTATATTATTTCTCTGAATATTTGCAAGCAATTACTGTAATGAAAATATTTTTGCTTTGTGGCAGGAAACTGTATTATTATTAATATTATTATTATTATTATTGTTGTTGTTGTCTTATCACTGGGGTGTTTTTTATTTATATATTATGATTCGCATCGACCTTCAGGGCATGTGTTACTATTTAGAAACTTTTAGAGGTATGTTGTAACTTCTCTCTGTGCTAATGAAACAGTCCTGATGGGTTGTTGTTGTGGTGACGGTGGTTTGTGGTGTGTGTGTGTGTGTGTGTGTGTGTGCGCAAATCCAGAGGAAAATAAACATCGCAGTGGATGCAGTTTTCCGTGATCACCATAGGTGCCACAATCAAGCGAAATGTTTTTTTAGATACTTGCTAGCTTAAAATGTTTCACAAAGAGAAAACGCAAGAATACATTATGGTTTCACTCAAACTGGACTCAGTTTCTTTTTTAAATAATGATTTTCTGTTTTGAATTGTCAGAGAAAAAAAGATTAAATCTTTTCCGTTTATCTTCTAGGTCTAGCTGGAGTCTTTTAGGTCTCTGCAGAATATGTGCCAATTAGAATAGAATAATAGCCTAAATCCTGCCAAATATAAAACAAAGCTTTCAACATAGAGTTGTAAGAGATAAATCCAGCTTCTTCTGATATTTACCAGAACAATAACAGCGCAGGTTGTAAGTGTGAAAGGCCCTCATGGGGTTGTCCTGTCTGTTTGGATAACTGCTGTATTTCTGCTCCTTGCTGTTAAGTTTTTTAAAAAAAATTTTATAAAGTTCCCTGAATCCCTTTGACTTTGCTTTATCAGCCCTTTCTTAGACATTGAAGAACATTGAAGAGCATGACATCAATATTAAACACTAATTATAAACCAGGAACTTCTTGTCTTTCTTAATAAATGACAGCTTATGAGCACTAAGTGTTTTAACTAGTCCTATTCTGTTCAGGATAAAAGACACAACATATTAACTGATGAAGTTGCAGTCAAAGAGGAAGGATTAAATGTGGATAATTGATTTCGTGCTCTTTAGCTATTTTGACCTCACACCTGTACAAACAAACTTGAACACACACAACAAACGTGTTTCCTCTCCCAAATGGTGCTGCTCATCATGACTCCCTGCAGGCTGTGTGTTATTTATCAA